CCCCCCCCCTCCCCCTCCCCAAAGTTGATGATTTGAGGGGTAGTTTTGCAAATGCTAAAATTTTGAGGGCATTTTTGCAAATACCCATGATTTAAGGGGTATATATGCAAATAACCCTTTTTAATATCGGGGTCCTGAATTATACTCTTCCTCTTGACTTGCAACTTCTATTGTTGATATTTTTGTTAATATTTTCTCATTATTTTCTCATATATGGTTATCTTTTATAGATGTAAGTCATATGAGCGAGCAAAGAAAAAACTGACTGTATTGGAGGCTCCAAATGTCCTGACAATTGCCTTGAAAAGATTTCAGGTGATTGCAGAAACTAATAATTTTATTTCTAATAAGCTGATCAACTTTGAGGTATTCTCGCTTCTGGTACATAACCCCTTAATTCTTACGCAGTCTGGAAAATTTGGTAAACTCAACAAAGCAGTTCGCTTTCCTGAGATCCTGGATTTGGCTCCCTACATGAGTGAGACAGATGATAAATCCCCAGTATATAGCCTCTACGCAGTGGTTGTTCATCAAGATATCATGAATGCTGCATTCTCTGGCCACTATATATGCTATTTGAAGAGCACTCCAGGGATGTGGTACAAGGCCGATGACGTCAGGGTATACGCCATTACCTTTTGATCTTCCAAGCTGTGTATTATCCTTTATTTTCAAAGTTGCTTTGTGTGACAGTTGCATCCTACATTTTCTCACCTATTTTCTTATTTTTCCCCTCCCTCTCAGGTAAAGCCTGTGGACATCAAAAGTGTCTTGACTAAAAATGCATACATGCTATTTTATGCAAGGTAACTGTCATCTGAGGGAGCGCAAAGTTCAGTAGTTTTCCTCTTTTAGCTCTTAAAACCTAACAAACAAATTTCTTCCATTTTCAGATGCTCGCCCCGAGCTCCCAGCTTGATCAGGAGTGTGTTATCGCCCAACCATCAAAAAAACAAGAGGGCCAAAGGCAAAGATTCGCTTAATCCACAACATAGGAGCTATGATCTCTACAACAGGAGACTTCCCTTTCCAAGGACAGACTCCTCTAGTGACAGCTCTTCCCTCCTCAGTTTCTCCGATGAAGGTTCATGCAGCACGGATAGCACTAGGGATTCCAGCAGCACTACTGAGGAGCTCTCTGACTACATATTTGGAGGCTCTTCAGTATTTTCTTCTGAGGATTCTGATGGTTTAGCTGGAAGAAATGAGGCTCTAAGTTATGAAGAGAGTTTGGCTTGGGAAAGGAGAGAGGTGGGTTCAGAGGGTATGAAGGGGAGCCCTCAGTTTTTGTGTTCTGATGTAACTAATCAGTGGAGTAGGAAATTAGCAGGAGATTGTAGAGGTAGACGAGAGATAAGCAAGCACGAGCCCGATGTATTATTAATCAGGAGGCTTACTAGAGAGAGAAGTCATACGTTTTATTAATGCTTTTTGGTTGTATAGGGCAATAATAAGGTTATTTAGGATGTAAAAATATATATTGTACTGCTGATTTCTAGTGAAAAGAAGCAAAATTTTCCTTTTTTTCCTTGCGTGTGGAAAGAGTTTTTTTTTCCTCACAGTTTCCAGATCGGTAGATTCTAGGCTCTTGTCAAAGAAGAAAAAGATTAGAGCATCGCGTCAGTAATCCTAAAATAGATTTTATTTCAATTATATTAATAAAAAGGGCGAAATAAGTATTATCACTTCCATCATCATTTCCAAATCAGCGGTGAATTTCATCTCCAGAAATTGTTCCCCTCTCATTTCGCGGGCTCCCAATCAATTAATTGCTTCTCCGTATATATAAACTCCCAATCAATTAATTGCTTCTCCGTATATATAAAAAACGAGAAAAACTAACTCAAAATTATTATAAACTATGTTTCGTTTGGATACTATGATGTTTTTCTTGTTGTGTTTTTATAAAAAAACATCATGGTGTTGTGCTTTTCCCTTAAAATATTTTTAAAACACCATGTTAAGTATTTTTAGTCAATACTAGTTTGACCCGTTATAACATTAGTATTAAACTTATTATTAATATATTATATATTAATTATAATAGAATATATTATAAATAAAATGTTATAATATGTAGTTTACATTATTATAGTATTATAATTATTACATATTATTTTTAAATAATTATATATTTAATTATTTTGGTATATCAATTTGTTATTGTTGAATCTTATATTATTTTTTATAATAATGTTATTTTATTATTAATATAATATTATACTATTATTTATATAATATATATTAATAATACTGTTTTTACTAGTATGTTATTAATAAATTAATACATTATAATATTTTAATATGTATATAATATTTATAGTTTAATATGTTAGAGTTTATTAATAGTAATTTAATAATATATTAGTATTTATGATATAAATAAATATTATTATATTATGAATATATTATTTTTACATTAATATTTGTTAGCAATAAATTATTTTATTATTAAAAATTATTTTACTTTATAATAAAATTTATTATTTATTATATAATATATTAATATTTTATATATTATATTACATTTACTATACAATATGTTATTATAATATTATTATTATATTGTTATATTATTATTAAATATGTTACTAGTATATAATATTTTATAATTATTAATTTATTATAATTTATTTATTAAAAAGTTAATAATATTATAGTGATTATACTATTGTATAGTATATTATTATATCATTATTATATTATTTATTATCAATAATTTTTTATTAGTTTATTTAAAATTTATTATTATTTATTTATTATATACAACATTATTAACATAGTAAATATTGGTATTTAATATGTTATTATATTATTATAAGATATTTAATTTATTATTTTTATATTATTTAATAAATATTACTAATATATTATATTAACAATAATATAGTATAATATAATAAACATGTTGATAATAACTCTATATTAATTATATTTAATATATTATTTTAGATATTATTTTAACACATTCTCAAACTCAAAATCAAAACACCAAACTTAAAACACGTAAAAGGTGTTGTGAAATAGGTGTTGTGTTTTTGGTTTGAGGATGATTTAGCACAACAAACACTATGATTTCCAAACACATGGTGTTTTGTTTTTTACAAATACACCATGAAAACAAGTAAAACACCGTGGTATCCAAATGGAGCCTTAGCAAAGATAGCTCAAATCAGTTACTATATTCAATGTGACTTTTCTAATTTCCTTTTTCTAGTTATATATTTGGGAAAAATGTGTACAGGCCCCAAAAGCAGAAACTTCATGTGACGAGGCCCCTCATAGTTCTCCCCATGTGAATCAGCCTCTTGATGTGTGAAACTTTGTACTGCAGCCCTTTTTTATCAATTATTACATGCCAGCTAAGCTAAAATCCCCAAATTATCCTTATCCTCTCTCCTCAATCTCTCAGACCCAGCACTCATATCCTCTCTCTCTCTCATTCTCTTCCTCTCTCTCTCTCTCTCTCTCTCTCTCTCTCTCTCTCTTCTCTCTCTCTCTCTCTCTCTTCCTCTCTCTAAAACTAAGAGCTTCTCAAGCTCGTACACCCTGGCCCTCGCCCTCCTCGTCGTTGCCGTCTCCGCTCAGGCCCCCAAGGCTCCCCTCGAGTTCGCCACCGCCTCCCCTCCTCTCCTCCACACGTCCTCGTCGCCGTAGATCGCCGCCGCTCCCCCACCGTAGATCGCCGCCGCAGAGATTAAGGAAAACGCTCAAAAAGCTCGGGCAATTGAAGACTGTTGAGGAGTGCAGGGATATGATCCGAATGTATGATGTTAATGGAGATGGTGTTTTATGCTTTGATAAATTTAAGAAGATGATGCTACGAGAGTAGGTTGGTTTTTGAGATTGATCTTTACCGTAAATGATGATGTTGTTGTGCCCCGTTGAGATTTGGACATTACTTTTTCTTTTTTTATTTGAGATGACTTTGATCAATTGAGGGTTCATGTAGACAATATATGAGCTTCTGTATTTGTAAATTGTGACCGATTCTGTTGTGGATGTTTTTTAGTCACCAGGCCGAGATGCACAAAGCATTAATCCATTAGCTAGAAGAAGAAAAGAAAAAAAAGAAAAAATGTTTGACCAGCTACAAATAAATGAACGATTTAATTTTTAAAAATAGTCAAAAGTTGTCACCATTTTTCCACTTTCACGAGACATCCACGCCTTTTTGGAGGAAGCTGAATTTGCAATAAACCTAATGTGCGCAATTTTTTTGAATTTTAATTTCGAACAAAATTTTAAAATAGACCACTTTAAAATTTAATTAGCAAAATAGGCTGAAAGAATATTTAATTACCAAAAATCGTTGTAAGCTGGGACGGTAGTTATAAATCGTTGTTATAAATGAGGATATAGTCATGCTTTTATAAATCGATGTTAATTATATTTGATAATAGTTATACCTAATGATATGTTATTTCTAGATGCTATCGAGGTAGTTCTAGTAGCCCTCGAGTTAGTTCTAGCTGCTACAATTATTAATTCTGGCTACTAAGTTAGTTCTAACCGCTACTTGTTATTTTTACTTCTACCTTATTTCTAGCTTCTATTACCCTAGTTCTAGCTTGTATACAGCCAGTTCTAGCCCACACCTTGTTAGTTCTAAATCCAGCCTTCGTATTTTACCTTCACACTTGTTAATTCTTGCTTCTACCTTAGTTCTAGCTTCTATTACCCTAGTTCTAGCTTGTATACAGCCAGTTCTAGCCCACACCTTGCTAGTTCTAAACCCAGACTTCGTATTTTACTTTCACACTTGTTAATTCTTGCTTCTACGTTAGTTCTAGCTTCTATTACCCTAGTTCTAGCTTGTATACAGCCAGCTCTAGCCTACACCTTGCTAGTTCTAAACCCAGCCTTCGTATTTTACCTTCACACTTGTTAATTCTTGCTTCTACGTTAGTTATAGCTTCTATTACCCTAGTTCTAGCTTGTATACAAGCTAGAACTGGCTGTATACAAGTTAGAACTAGGGTAATAGAAGCTAGAACTAAGCTAGAAGATAGAATTAACAAGTGTACATGTAAAAAATGCGGGCTGTGTTTAGAACTAGCAAGGTGTGGGCTAAAACTGGCTGTATACAAGCTAGAAATAAGGTAATAGAAGCTAGAACTAACGTAGAAGCAAAAATTAACAAGTGTGAAGGTAAAATACGAAGACTGGGTTTAGAACTAGGAAGGTGTGGGCTAGAACTGGTTGTATACAAGCTAGAACTAGGGTAATAAAAGCTAAAACTAAGGTAGAAGCTAGAATTAACAAGTGTGCATGTAAAAAACACGGGCTGAGTTTACAACTTGCAAGGTGTGGGCTAGAACTGACTGTATACAAGCTAGAACTAGGGTAATAGAACCTAGAACTAACGTAGAAGCAAGAATTAACAAGTATGAAGGTAAAATATGAAGGCTGGGTTTAGAACTAGCAATGTGTGGGATAAAACTGGCTGTATATAAGCTAGAACTAGGGTAATAGAAGCTAGAACTGAGGTAGAAGCTAGAATTAACAAGTGTGCATGTAAAAAACGAGGGCTAGGTTTAGAACTATCAAGGTGTGGGTTAAAACTGGCTGTATACAAGCTAGAACTAGGGAAAAAGAAGCTAGAACTAACGTAGAAGGAAGAATTAACAAGTGTGAAGGTAAAATACGAAGGCTGGGTTGAGAATTAATAAGGTGTGGGCTAGAACTGGCTATATACAAGCTCGAACTAGGGTAATAGAAGCTAGAACTAAGCTAGAAGCTAGAATTAATAAGTGTGCATGTAAAACACCATTGTTGGGTTTAGAACTAATAAGGTGTGGGCTAGAACTGGCTGTATACATGCTAGAACTAGGGTAATAGAAGCTAGAACTAACGTTGAAGTATGAATTAACAAGTGTGAAGGTAAAAAACACGGGCTGAGTTTAGAACTAGCAAGGTGTAGACTAGAACTTGCTGTATACAAGCTAGAACTAGGGTAATAGAAGCTAGAACTAAGGTAGAAGCAAAAATTAATAAGTGTGCATGTAAAAAACGAAGGCTGGATTTAGAACTAGCAAGGTGTGGGCTAGAACTGACTATATACAAGCTAGAACTAGGTTAATAGAAGCTAGAACTAAGCTAAAAGCTAGAATTAACAAGTGTGCATATAAAAAACCCTTGTTGGGTTTAGAACTAGCAAGGTGTGGGCTAGAACTGGCTGTATACAAGCTAGATCTAGGATAATAGAAGGTAGAACTAACGTAGAAGCATGAATTAACAAGTGTGAAGGTAAAAAACGCGGGCTGAGTTTAGAACTAGAAATGTGTGGACTAGAACTGGCTGTATACAAGCTAGAACTAGGATAATAGAAGCTAGAACTAAGGTAGAAGCAAAAATTAACAAGTGTGTATGTATAAAATGAAGGCTGAGTTTAGAACTAGCAAGGTGTGGGCTAGAACTGACTGTATACAAGCAAGAACTAGGTTAATAGAAGCTAGAACTAAGATAGAAGTTAGAATTAACAAGTGTGCATATAAAAAACCCTTGTTGGGTTTAGAACTAGCATG